TAGATCGTACTAAAAATTAAATGCGTGTATGGATGTGTGTTTATATCCGCCAGAAATTGCATTTTAGCTAAGTCAGTTGGCGTAAACCGCTTGTGATATGAGAGGTTGTTTGTATGTGCTAAAATTAGTGGGTAAGTGTTGACATCCGCGCGACAGGTCGGATGTTTACACGCTGTTGTGATGGGTAATGCGGTCAGGAGGTAGCAGCGCTGGAGGACCTCTGGCGGAGAGTGGCCAAGTGCAGTTTATAAATAAATAAAAAGAGATTGTTGGGTTAGATCTGGTTGGGAATTTTTTGACGTAATGTAGGGCCATTGTGCTCAAAATTGATTGGATAGACTAGATGGCTGTCATTCAAATTATTGGGTTTTGGCCTATGTAAAGTTACGTATTTTGCCATAGGCGGCTATAGTTAACAAAAACTCACGAATGAGACCTTAATAGAAATGAAAAATATTCACCAAAAATCAACGATTAGTGCTAAGGTCCCAATTTTTGAACAATGTTTGCCCAGGATTTAATGTCTGATTTTTCAGCGAACGTTGCATTGCGTAACCACGCCCGTTGCCATGGCAACGGACGAGGCCATTTCTGTGGGGGTTGATGCACACCGTCCTTTCATCTTACTCCGTTTTACAAAGATTTACAGTCAAATAACGTTTTGAAAAGCTGACATAGTCAATGATACATACACTAAAGATATTTCCCTGACTACCAGTGTTGCGAAAGACGTCTATGAAGCAAGGACTGACAAGCGCAAGCTTGCAAATTTTATGGAAATCGTGTAAACCCAAATTCACGGACAGCACATGTAAATCTTAGAAGCGTCGATTACGGATATTAGATCTTCATATGAAATTGTGGCTAGAGTTAAGGAACCACAGAACAGGAAAAGATTCAAATATTATATATATGTGCACTTTGCTTTCAGGAAAAGCGTCAAATGCAAGTCAATCCCACGCGCTACGAATTGTTTAAACAACCTTGCCAGCAGCCTGACTGTCCACCCACCTAATATCGCAAGCCTGACAAGTAGGGTTATCTGATTACACCCCAAAGTATACCCATTATGTGGCTTGATTAACCTGGCCGAAATTTGTGCCATTGTTACCCCCCCCCCATACACACGCACGGATGCACGCATTGAGTCTGAGGCGCACTCACCCCCCCCCCGCACTTTTGGGCGGTGGATCCTTACCCTGCCCCCCCCCCAACTACGGAAAAACACCTGACACGTTACAGCTGAGGTGAATTTGTATCCCCCAGACTTCCAGACTGCAAAATCATAAAAGATTTCGTGGATTTCTACTTAGGGGAGAATGGATATATTATGCCAAAGCATTACTGTAACTTTCATTGGAAAAGTTTCTGCTTTGCTCTGTGCTAAGAACGCTGTCTGGAATTCCCCTTCCTTTTCTGAGTGATAGTTTACGGTCAATTTGGCCTCTTTTGCCTTCATTCTTCTCAACTAGTAGAAAAGGGTACTCTTGACTGAAGTTGCCTCGCATTTTTGTAAGCCAGGATCTTGTGTCACCTCTATAAACCACTCCCCATTCCCGCCTAGGCTGACTTTTAGAGTGCGCTAGATGCACTATCAGCAGCATGTCGCTTATTTCTTCTTACCTCGGGGTCAAATTTTAGCAAGTTTATATGTTTGGCTTTACTGTTGTTTGTGTCATGTCGATGTCTTTGCTTTTATGGGCTTGTCCTGATGCGACATGCACCTGAATGTCGCTACTGATGCTATGCCTCATTTGCCAGCATACACGAAATGATCAGCATCGTCCAGATCTATCTCTTGCTGTCTACCAAGGTTTACATGTAAACAATCTCATACAGAACACATTAATCTACCCAACGGTACGAAAAAAAAACATTAATTACCGTTTCCGACACGTCATAAGGGTAATTAAAGACGTATGTTGTACTTTTTCTCCAAACTGCCAGGTGGCGCTGCTCATATCAAAATTTTGACGCAACTTCATTGACCCGTTGCTTGGTAACGGAGTGACGTGAGACAAAATCTTTTTAAAAGATTGTTAGGGGATGTTTATTCTTTCATTTAAGACACAATCTTAATAATCAATGGTTATTAAGGTCTCATTCCGGTATTCTTCCGCGTGGGTACTCTAAAGTAGATCGTACTAAAAATTAAATGCGTGTATGGATGTGTGTTTATATCCGCCAGAAATTGCATTTTAGCTAAGTCAGTTGGCGTAAACCGCTTGTGATATGAGAGGTTGTTTGTATGTGCTAAAATTAGTGGGTAAGTGTTGACATCCGCGCGACAGGTCGGATGTTTACACGCTGTTGTGATGGGTAATGCGGTCAGGAGGTAGCAGCGCTGGAGGACCTCTGGCGGAGAGTGGCCAAGTGCAGTTTATAAATAAATAAAAAGAGATTGTTGGGTTAGATCTGGTTGGGAATTTTTTGACGTAATGTAGGGCCATTGTGCTCAAAATTGATTGGATAGACTAGATGGCTGTCATTCAAATTATTGGGTTTTGGCCTATGTAAAGTTACGTATTTTGCCATAGGCGGCTATAGTTAACAAAAACTCACGAATGAGACCTTATAGAGGTGGTCGCTTAGGCAAGTTTGACTGTAACTAAGAAGATAACATTTGCATGTTTACCTTCACATGGTCCAAGCTAACAAACTACTGCACTGTTTATTCTTACTCAAACACATCTATATGGTGACCAGCCCCTCCAAGTCTGTCCTACGATTGCTACATAATGTAACACCACGGGTCTCTGCTACAGCACCAGTTACCATGGTGACAGTCTTCTGCTTCAGGTCATTGACCTTATTATTTTTGGGAAGAAGAACAAGAAGGAGAAGCAGAGTAAAACAATATGTTTCATAAAGGTAATAATGATGTGAAAGAAAATCCCCTGACCACTTTGATGAATCCTGTCTGTAGTTCAGCGAGCTGGTTCTTGAGTTCCTTGTTCTGTGCCATGGCTCGACTGATGGTGGCCTTGTCGTTCTGCATGTCCTCCAGCAGCTGGTCACGGTCGATGTCCGCCTCCCCCAGCCGCGCCAACGCACTCTCCAGCTCCAGGATCCTGTCCTCCTTCTCAGCTACTAATCTGGAATGGCAAAAACATTCATAGTTAGTGACCTGGTAACAAAAGTTAGACCACACTGATTTAGTTTTATGGATGACATCTGCACACGGATTGATTTTCAGCTGTTCTAAAAAAAACACCTCCGAGGAGGCTGAAGCCTGGGTGCCATCCTCCATAGTCCAGGGTAGCTAGTGACAATAGGAAGCCGGCGGTAACTACGGAAGACGGCACCCAGGATACCGAAGATCCATGGAACTTAAGAACTTAGTACATGTTGTAAATGTCGCAAAAGGCCAGCATATGCTGGCTTGTCGTGAAAGTCGCTATGTTGTACTACTGCAAATTCACAATACAATTTTTGTATTAATTCCTGTGGTTTAGCAGCACTAGTTTGGGGGTCTTCAGAGGATGTCATCCATAAAATTAAGTCAGTGTGGCCTTAGATGACATAATGGCCTAGTAATAGATTCTGGGCTCACTGGCTTAACATAAATAATTGCAAGAAACAAAATATATTTAAGGCATCCCATGCAAGTTCAGGGTGGTAAAACTGGATTTTCAAAGTCAGATTCTCAGGTCATTAAAGCTTTCAGATCTGTCACATTAAAGCCACTTTCAAGAAATTCTGAAAGTCATGAAGAGCCACCTACAAACTGTAAGGCAAACTGCAAGTAGAAAGATGGTTCTTACCTACTTAACTGTGCATTGTCGTTGACCTGCAAAAAGAAGATAACTGTTAGCTCATGTTTTAAACTCTTAAGAACTTAGGAATGCTTGAGATATACAAGTGGCTAAGCTACTAAATGTAAGTATGCTATAAAATGTAGTTGAATTTGAAACCTTCTAAAATGTCAACAAAAATTTATAGGCTTCAACACAAACATTCAAGAGCAAAGGCCGGTAATGGCGCAGGTGTAGAAGCCACACTTTTAGCCCATATAGCACTGCTGGCAAATGTAGGTATAAAAGTGTTATTTTACTGGAATGTGTTTGGATTTTGGAGCTGGATGATACAGGTAAGGGTTTTTCCTTTTTGATTGTGTTGAAAAATCAGACTTTCACCCATTTTTGTGGTGTCCGTAGGCTGTAGAAATGTTGTGGTTTGGTGTGGTTTGGATGTGTTAAAGAGGGGTCAGAGGTCATTTTCTTTGTTTTGATTTGAGTATGGACGTGTTGCACCGTATAGAAAGTGGAAATTTTGCTCTAGATTGACACTTTAGAGGTCAGACACCCCAGCCAATGTGAGTTTTTCATGGACTAAAACTTAAGTGACTTTTGACACCCTCTTTCTTACATGTTTACCATGCATTTCAATAGGAAGCCCCATTACTGGTCATTGGCCTCAAGTTTGTAGCACCATGCATTCAGCCATGTGGCTCATACGCTCCCCCTACCTGTTCATGATAGCGCTGCAGGATTTGGTCCCTCTCCTGTACCAACTCTTCTGTCTCCATACTGGTGATGACTGGCTCCTCCTCCGGTGTTTCTCCGCTGTCATTGGTCCCGCTATTGTTTTTCCTTTCCCCGTCTGTTTCATCAACTACAAACAGGAACAAGAGTTCGTAGGACACAAACCTCCGTGAAGTAATCATGGTGTTTAAGGCATCCAATGTGATTTCAGAGAATATTTGGAAATATTCTGAATAAGGCTACCTTAAAGTTTGTGATATTGACACACACTGCTTTACATTAGCACATTTGAGTTAGCATTTCATACTTTGGGCTTTTAAAACTACTGAAACAAGCCCCAAGATGAGTTCTTTATTTTCTGGTCAGGTTCTTTATTTTCTGGTCAGGTTCTTTATTTTCTCAGCCAAGGGCCCTTTCAGTAACACTTTTCCGTCAGAATTTTGGTAATTTTTGCTCCATAAGGGTCAATGTACATTGAGACAGTGTGGTTTCAACTCAGTATGTAGATAAATGACTAGAATATTGGCTTTGAAAAATCGGGTTTCTAATCCCTAAAAACTTCACTGTATGCCTTCAACGTGTGCACATGAGGAAAAAAATGCTTACACATTTTTTTTACTTGCACAACATATAGAATTCCAGCCAGTTTCCAGTACCATCAAGTTCACCCTATTTCCAGTATCTGACCTTTTGACCTGTCAATCTGCCTGTCAATGTTCCCCCCACCCATGTGCTATCAACCCACTGACCAGGCAAGCATTCACACAAACCCACAGACATCCCACCCCAAACAATACTTCCATTACAGGGATGTTGTACTGACCTGCAGCGCCCTCTAGCTGTGCTATTCTGAACTCCAGCTCCTGATGTCTGGATGACAATCTGTCTCTTTCTTCTGTTACTGATGACAACTATTATGGACAAAAAGTTCTGTAAGTCTTCAAATGACACTAATTAGACAGTTGCAGTACTCTTTCAACCCACCAGATGGCATTCATGAGAAGAGTGGCGTAGCTGGAATTTACCATTAAGCATTGTTGGCCCTCCTATATGTAAATTTACTGTTTAGCATATCCAGAATCCCCACATGCACACCCTATGATATGATTGAAGCCCTCCTAAGTTTACCGTTAAGCATAGCTAGGATCCCCCCATGCACACCCTCTGCTATGATTGAGACAGGTGATAAAAAGCACCTGGTAGGCCAGCTGGTGCAGCTGCTGCTGCAGGTGGCTGCTGTGCTCCTGATACTGCTGCGTGAGTTGTTCTCTCTCAGCTGACAGCTGCTGGAATGCCTGTGTGTACTGCAGCAAGACAAGACAAACAAGTTTGCACCTGAAAGCTACATTATTATAACATTAGGCCACACTGATTTACTTTTATGGATGACATCTGCGGACATGTTGATTTTTGCCTGTTCTCCAAAAAAAAATCACCTCCTTTGAGGCTCTGGCCTGGGTGCCATCCTCCGTAGTCCATGGTAGCTAGTGACAATATGGAGCCTGTGGTAACTACAGAGGATGGCACCCAGGCTGCCAAAGCTCCACGGAACTCAAGAACTCAGTACATACGTACAGTGCCAACTCATAAATTCCGCAAAAAGCCGGCATGTGCCGGCTTGTCATAAACGTTATCCACATTCCTGTGGTTTAGCATCATCTTCTTTGGCTGGAATTTTTAATTCGCCCGCTAGCACTAGTTTGGGTGTCTTTGAAGGATGTCATCCACAAAATTAAGTCAGTGTGGCCTTAGGGCGATACAAAAAGTCATTTCCACCTAATTGAAGTGTGGAAAGTTGTGCGAAATGCTATTCCTGGGTGGCACAACATTGGGGCATTGTTGGTGGAATCGAACCCAGGACCCATGGGTTCCGGGTCGAATGCCCTACCATAATGCCACACAATGCCACTCATGTATGTGGTAAAGACAACCTACCTGTAGCACTTTCCTCTCCAGGTCAGCCTTCTCCTCCTGTATCCTGTCCACGTGCTGCTGTACCTCCTGGCTGTCCGTGTGGCTGGACAGCTGCTGTACACGCAGTTCTGTCATACTGAGCTGTCCCCGCAGGGATCTAACCTCCTGTTCCATAGTGGAGCACTCTTGTGCCTGGAGGGCATGGAAACGATTTTGTTTTAGTAAAGTTTTTAATGACTGTACTATTTTAATGAAAACTGTCATTAGTGACCTTACTGGTTTGTAATTTTAGTGTTCAAATATCTGTACTTGTAAGGGACAGTACAATTCAGTTCCCCTCATAAAGGGTTCTGCAATACTGTAACTTTTAGAAGTTCAATAAAAACTAGAATGATTGGAGAACCAGGATGAAAAAAGCAAATTCGAAATTATAATGTTGTTACTGTAACATCAGTTTTTTTTGCTGCATTAGGCCACACCAATTTAATTTCTTGGTTAATGGATTCGCCCGCGTCATTTTTTTCTGATTTGCAAAAAAAAAAAAAATTCAGAATCAACTGCAAAATGCTCATGATTTGCCCTGAACAGTTGAAAACAGTCCATTTCCTCCTAGTTGTTACAGTTATTCCATCTTTCAATGCAATGGTATCATTAAAAGTTCAAAATTCATTGTTTAAATTTTGAACCAGTCTGGTGTGTTGACTTCATGGCTCCTATCGTACAATTTTGGGCCATAATAGGATGCCTAGGTCTGCTTTTATTTATTTATTTTTTTTCGCCCGCCCGCTCCATTATTTTTCTAGAAAAATCCGTTAACCAAGAAATCAAATTGGTGTGGCCTTAGGTCACATTAATTTTAATTCATAATTGGTAACTTACTGCCCACTTACTGATTTGCAAAAAAAAAGTTTCAGGTTCTGAATCAACTCCAAAATGCTCATATTTTGACCCAGAAGCTCCTTGTCTTCCTATCTGTTACAGTTTTTCCATCTATCAATGTAGTGGTTTGATTAAAAGCTCCATATCCTGAAGTAGTTAGAGATTATGTAGTACACACGTTGCTAGATTTTCACTTTGCCTACCTTTGCTTGTAATCTTTCTGTAAGCTCAGAATTTTGCTGTGACATTTCATCTTTGGCACGACTGGAAGAAACAGACAGAAAAAGTTCATCAGAATATACAGCAAACTACGTGTACATTTAGAAACATTTGCAAAGCATAATTTATAAATACCTTCACACAGTCTAGCTCAACAAACTACAGTACATGTACTGCTCTGTCTATTCTTACTCAAACACATTCATACATATGGTGACCAGCCCCTCCAACTCTGTCTTGCTACATAATGTATCCAAACACCAGTTACCATGGTGACAGACAACTGGTCAATGTCATTGACCTTATTTCTTTGTTAGAAGAAACTGAGCAAAACAACATGGTTTCCTTCTGCAAACTTTAAAGGTAAACATAATTACCACTGTTCACAATGTTCAATAATTAGAATTTTTCCAAAGCTTTTCATACAATATATAATTCTATGTAACACAAAATTGGCTTACTTTAATTTATACACTTCCATTTTCAAGTCGTCTTTCTCCTTTTCAAGTAGCTTGTTAGCCTGCAAGATAAAAATAGATAGTACATCTAAACTATTACAACATCCTTCATGATATTGATATCCATACACACGAAAAACTAGTGAAACAATATTCTAAAGTTGAACAAACACTTCAATATCTTTTAATATGTAGTGTCATGGATTTGCTGTAAGAGCTTACTGTGCCTGTGAATAAAGAGCACTGAAAACATGTTGATATTTCCAGTACCTTTTCATATTGTCTACTGTAGTTTGCTGTACTTGTTGCTTCTCTCTCCAAGTCAGCAAGTCTCTGTCGGGAAGCCTGCAACCTGCTCTTGTAATCTTCTGCTTCATCTGGGAACAGAAAATAGCCCACGTTTAGCTACATGTAAACTCAGGACTAGAGCTGTGTACCTCAACAAATTTTAGATGCAGGTACAAGTAAATGGATTAAGGTACATTAGTACATGTACTAGTCCAGACCTATTCCTGTACCTGAACAATTAAAGAAATTAATAATGTATGTTGTTCTTAATTGATAAGAACAGAAACATTAATAACTTGACAGATAATGGTACCTTTTTGTTTATGGAGAATTTTTAGGACAAAACATGGGCAAAACTAAGATGTTATAGTTTTCATCCCTACATTAGTGGCCTCATGCAACAAAAACTGACCAAAGTGACATCTAGAGGGAGCATTACTAATATGTAACAGATCTTTCAGGGTAGTTAACATTGTCAGTGTAACACAAACACACTGTCTCTGGGACCCATGGGGGACCAGGTATTTAATAATATTCTTATTCTATGATGTACAAATATAATATTTTTCTGTTGAAAGAGTGAGACTTACTGGATTTTTGTCTAGCAGCATTATGTGTGTGAGACAGCTGGGTTTGTAGTTCTGACTTCTCTGCTACCAGGATGCCTATAGTCTGGATGTGGACCTAAATAAATAATAATATAAACTCACTGATATACATGAGAAAGGTCACACATGTAAGGCAAAATAATGTATAATATTTACCTCCATACAATATAGCCTAACAAACTTATTGTTGTTTGTTCTTACTCAAGGACATTCATGTATATTATGGTGTGCTTACCAGCCCCTCCAACTTCACATAATGTAACCCAACACCACAAGGTGTCTGCTACAACACCAGTTACCATGGTGACAGACATCTGGTCCAGGTCATTGACCTTATCAACATTGTCTTTAGAGAAGACGAAATTAGGACAAAAACAATTTGTTTTCCTTCTGTGAAGGTAAACATAAACATGGCTTAGAAATGCTCACATGCAGTTTGTACTATATTGTCAATATTTTCCGCATAAAAATATTATGATCATGCAATTTTGCTTGTTGATAATACCAGTATATTATGTTTGCACTATATATTACGTATGTCACATATTCAAGGTGTAGCTCTCCTTAAACATGGACCTCCGGCTTTACATCCTATCCAAGAGGACGTTCCTAACTGAAGCTAGGTACATCTACTCATTTACACCCGAGTCAAGCGAGGAAATAGGTGTAAAGTGCCTTTCCCCAGGACACAACAGTGTGGCCTGCCAGGGATTTGAACCCAGAACCTTCAGATTCTGAGTCCACAACCCTAACCACACGCCTGTTGTCCATACCTGAAGTTGTTCTCTTAGTGACACCACCTCCTTCTGACTCTGTTCCCGACAGTTGGACTGAACCTGTTCTAACTCCTGCTGCAGCCGGGTATTCTGACTTTTCTGAAGAACAAGACAAATAAAAACAAAACAAACTGTTAACACTAACAATTCTGATCACTTGATACCATGAGAATGCTACCTCATTTCCATAATTTATGAGAAAATGTCCTAATACCATAGTGCTGAATGGTAAGGATTGTACACTTGTGACACATCAGGGATCAAAATTTATTTTGGGGAATAGGTGCACTGGTGCACCCATTACCTAAAAAATTGGGTGCACAAAATTTTTTTGGGTGCACCATATAAAATCTTACTGCTCCTCTTTGCAGGTTGAATCTGAAATGGAGCTAACATCAAAATATTAAACAAGTACTGCAGCAATGATTTTATTATTTTTCTGACACTTAGATGCCAAGCATATCCTGTATACTATTATACATTTAATATGTACAAAAATGCCTACAAAAATATTTGGGTGCACCAGTGCACCCGCAGAATAAAATTGGGTGCACAGCTTCAAATTTGGGTGCACTAAGGTGCACATGCACCTAGTATTTCCAGCCGTGTGACACATACATGAAAGTTAGGTAAAAGTCAACTTCATCAGTCATAAATCAAGCAAATCAGAATCTTATTTGCATAATATATGAGAAAGTGCTAGCATTGCTGAAGATCATTTGTCGAAGGTATGACATCGTGGAACTCTAGTAGTATGTTTCTTTCACACTTACAGATCACAATCATCCCATGGTCTTATGCTACATGCCTACAAACAATATATAGATTTCAATTTAACTTATCCTATTGATTCTATTCTATTTATACTATTTATTCTGGCTATTTCCTGAATTAAAATAATTAAATTTACCAGTTCTTGCAGCTGTATTGTCAACTGTTGGTTGGTCTGTCTGGTCGTCTCTATGTTTGCAGCTAACTCCAGATTTCTAGTCTGGAAAAACATTCAAACATTAGTGTAAAGAAATAAATAAGACTGTTCAAGGTATCCAATGCAATTTCAGGGCTGCAGAACGAAAAAAAAAATATTCTGGAAGAAGAAATCTGTGTGATATTAACATTTACTACAATTTGGTACCACATTTTCCTAAATATTTCAGACTTGAAACATTTGAAATAGCCAAGAAACAAGATATGTGAGGCATGTCTTTACCTTTTGGATACTGCCGATAAGTACATGTACATTTGTAGCTAGAACCAGCCTAAGATACAAGACAAGGAGCTGTTTTCTGTAACCGACATTACATTTTTGCCTCACAGATATCAGTTTCGGTTGATTCAACTTATAATTACTTCATTAAAGATTGACCAGAAAATTGACTTGGAAAATCCAGTTTTGCCATCCTCAAATTGCATTGGATTCCTTGAGTTTCAAACAGGTTATACCATGTGAAAACACAAGTACAGAAGCGCCCCCTACCTGCAGTTCAGTAACACCACCAGGGTTGGAGAACGTCTCAATTTCAGCATCCTCCCCATTTGTTAGACTCTGGGGGAAATAGAAAAATTACAATTCTAGCTGTATTTTGCCCAACATCCAGTGTAAGGATTTTTTTTACCACATGACAAAATATTGGGCTGGGGTGTGAGTGTATTTTCATAAATGGGGCGTTATAAATTGTCCATTTGATTTCAGTGTTTAATGATAATTTACATGTAAATTCACAACTTCAGTTTCCTAATACAATGTATTGTGACCAATTTACATGTTTTACAGTAGTTTCTAATGGATATCAAAATAGACAACCTAGTAAAACATTTACAACGGGCACAAACATAAAAAGTTGCTTTAGGTTACAGTGTAATCCAATACCATATCTGATGGGTAAATAAATAGATAAACTATTTGTGCTAAAATACAGAATGCAGAAAAAAAATGCATTGTAAGGCACTTCTCTTAAAAGCAGGAAAGCCACAACAGCTTACAAATGCACATAAAATTAAAGGAGAATAATTAAAAGAAAACAACAAGATTACATTATGTAAGTTTGAAAGAAGCAGTCTTGTTAGAAAAGCTAACTCAGAACTCAGTCCCCCTACATGTTAGGTGTCACAGAGCACTTTGTGTACTACTGACTCAGAAGCAAGAAAGAGCCACACACAAACACACACGCAAAAAGTGGTTGATTATTATTATATAGTGAGCTGGTTAGTACTGAAGTTTGAAACTACAGCCCCTATGGATACTGTACTAGACTAGTAGTGTTGGTTAACTTTTTGCCTTGCAAAGAATAATCTCCAAGCAGAACTTTTGGTGGGGGTAAGACAGTATCAAATTGGCAAGTCTGTAACCATTTCCCCACCCACTTGGAAAGAAGTCTTCTGGCATTAAAATTGTACCAGTAAGCCCCTGTCACAAATTCAGAACCTTTTCCAAACACCAACTAACCAAGGTTGCCTGAAGTTTGGGAGCAGTCTGACCAGATTTAGGCCACGCCTTCTTTTCTATATGAATTGAATTTGACATGTGTGACAGGGACTTTAGACAGCAGAGTGATGGTCTATTCATGTATGTAGACCTTTGACAATATACCCAGTTTTATTTCCCTTAAATCATTCTGGATATTGTTTTTGTACAAGACAGTACCGTATACTTGCTCGGAGTCCCTCTGCAAATTTTATATGGTATATAATCATCTCAGATACTCAAAGCACGGTCTCTGTTAGAACTTTTCTAATTATGCTGAATTTAATAAGTAAACAAGTAGCAGCCTCGTGCTAATATAATTCAATTGAAATTGGAGCCCACCACCCGAAATGTCAAACCAAGTGCAATTAAGAATCAAAGCACAATCATATCAAAATCAAATTACCCGTTCGGACCCCACCATTCTGACCAACTCAGGGGGGTATGTCAGTCTTTGAACCTACATGTACAGAAAGTATATTAGCACTATTAGGGAAGGCAGGACGAGCAGAGAGAGATAGGAAACATAGGGGGCATATGTTACATTAGCTGGATGATACCTTTAGTTTTCCCATAGCTTATTAAGGATGGCTTAGTTTCACATGTATGCTTAGACTTAGAGAGAAATGGCAATGCAGTGATACTAGCAGGTCCTTTGAATAGCTTCTTCTTTAAGTCATTTGCAAGTTCTTTTGATTCAAGCATATGACATAATAATTCTCTTAAGCCCCTGTCACACATTCAGAACCTTCCCCCAAACACCAACTGGCCAAGACTGACCTAAGTTTGGGAACAATCTGACGCCTGCATGTACCTTTCTGCTCAAATATTGAATTTGAGTTAAATTTGAGTCAAATTTCACTGCCAACTATGCCCCGACTTATCCCTGAACACCAGCCAACCGTAGCTGAACCTCCCTTCAACAACTGAATTTGTTTGAACTTTTTGAAACATTTGGCTGTTGCAGCCGAACAGGAGCCAACAACCTGTCCAAACACCAGCTAACCACAGCTGACCTTGCTCCAGACCAACTCCTAACCATGGTCAGGGCTAAAAATACTGGGTGCATGTGCACCTTAGTGCACTCAAAATTGGAGCTGTGCACTCTATCTTTTTCTGTGGGTGCACAAGTGCACCCAAATATTTTTGTAGGTATTTTTATACATATCAAATGTATGATAATGCAGGATACTAGTATTCCTGGAATCTAAGTGTCAGAAAAATAATAGAATCTTTGTTGTAGTACTTGATTTAGATTTTGAAGCTTGCTCCCATTTCAGATTCAAGCTCAGAAGGGGACATGTATGTTTTTTTTTTTATGGTGCACCCCCAATTTTTTTTTTGTGCACCGAATTTATTAGGTTGGGTGCACCGGTACACCTATATTCCCAAAAATGAGCCCTGATGGTTGTGGGAAGTTCAGTAGTGTTCAGGAGGCCATATGCGGCTATGTGTGACAGGGGCTTTAAAGACAAGAACTTTACTTGTTGTAAATGATCCCTTATTTCCTGCACTGTATTCTGAAAGTTACACATTTTTCCAAACAGTAAGATCACACACAATTTGTGCTACAGGTTTGTCATATTCTTTAGAGAAAAGTGGTGTAAATAAAAATACAAAACTTCAATATCATAGTACAGTAAGAGATCTATGACCCCTCTGGCCAAAAGAAGAATTTTATTACACTCCAACTGAGTAAGGCAATAAGATTTTTTGATTAAGTAAAATTTATATGTATTTCACAAAATTTGTATATTTCCTTAGACTCTTGGAGGCAACCAGTGTTATATTACCACAATTGAATGTACAAGCCAACTGAGTCAGTTGAGGTATTTTTTTCTTAATAGTAATTCTGTTTCTTTGGATTTATTTTCTTTGAAGTTGTCAGGAAAGGACATCATAATTATAAAACTGGAACATTTAACATAATTCTAAAATGGGCATCTTTGATAATTTATTATAAATGCTAGGATATTGGCTGATAATAAAAAAAGTGCTATAGTATAGATATAACGACATTACGGCAGTGTTGTAACTATGTGTACCTCTGATACCAGCCCGTTCAGCTGCATGGAGATCTGACGAAGGCTCTCTGTGGAAGACGTCGGTCTGTGGGGCAAAACAGTTGTTAAAGTTTAATGATGACTTTCATGGAATCATTCGTAGTTTTGGGAAAATGACATCGGAATTTGACCTGTTTCGACTTTATGATTTATGAAGATTTACCACGTGAGCATTGGACTCAGAACCGAGAGGTCCCGGGTTCGATACTCACCGTGGCCCGTCGTTGTGCCCTTGGGAAAGGCACTTTATATGACTTCCCCACTTATATGGTGGAGTGACGCCCACTGAGACTCTTAGGCTTATCTGTCTGTCTGGGTGCCAAAAACACCTTATGGATTTGGTGCGCCGATGTGACAACATTGGCCACTGAGAGCCGTTAATTTTCTTTTTTTTTTTTAAATCGACATAACAGGTGACTATCGATTTTCAAGATGTCAAACCTGAGACCATACTGTAAGGTGTGAACCACTCTCACCAGGAAGGACCCCTACTCTTTTCGACAAGTGTGGTGAGATCTTTGACATGCTCAAGGTATGGGACCTCCGGCTTTACGTCCTATCTGAAAGGACGTCCCTAATATAACCAAAGCTAGGTACTCATTTACACCTGAGTCAAGTGAGGAAATAGATGTAAAGTGCCTTTTCCAAGGACACAACACTGTGGCCAGCCAGGGATTCAAACCCAGAACCTTGAGATTCTGAGTCAACAACCCTGATCACAAGACCACCTTGCCACCCTAATTAATTTGTCTGTCCCAAATATGAACTTTCATGAAAATTCATCTGTGTTGGTAGTTACATGTTTCAAGTTAAAACTTTTCATACAACACAAAGGTACAGATGCAAGTATTAGGTAATGTAAAATAAGTTTAACTTACTGAAAATTTTGAAATGTGACAACAGTTTTATTTTCATGAATTTGTTGGTGTCCTCTTAATGCAAAATTATGACACCAAAAACATATGTTTTGTATTTCTACTTAAGTATTACAGAATTGTTTCAACTGTGAACTTCGAAACACCAAAAATGTCTCGAAACACCGAAAATATATCTCGAAACACCGATAATACCTCCTTCGATCTCCCTTACATTGCACAATAAACCCATTGTGACAGTAAATGCATTAACGGTAGCACGAAATGCTTGCATGGAAACCTAACTCACCTGTGTGGACTGCTCTGATTGGTTGGTGTGCTGCTGCTAGTGTTGTTTGTATTGGTGACCTCTATCACACTACTGGTTCTCACCACCCTTTGATACTTGTTGTTATTTTCTACTCCTTCCTGTACATCAAGTAAACAAATAAACATGTTACACATTTTCACAACAAAGTCGTCCATGAATTTTTGGATTATGTTTAAAGGCATCTAATGTAATTTTAGGCCACACCAATTTAATTTGTTGGTTCTCGGATGTTTTCAGAAAAAATATGAAGCGACAGGGCGAAAAAAAATAAAAATAAAAACAGGTCTAGGCATCCTATTATAGCCTTAAATGCTACGGAATGAGCCATGAAGTCAACACAAAAGGCTGGGTTGAAATTTAAACATTGAATTTTAAACTTTTAACCAAACCACTGCAATGACAGATGGGAAAACTGTAACAAGTAGAAAGAAAAGGACTTTCCTCAACTGTTGGGGGCAAAACATGAGCATTTTTCAGTTGATTCAGGACCAGAATCAATTTTTTTTTTTGCAAATCAGAAAAAAACAAAGAGGCGAATCCGAGAACCAACAAATTAAATTGGTGTGGCCTTATGGTG